GCTCATGGGTCGCATACCAGTTGCAAACGTGCCTTAAAATTCTTCAGAGAAATTGTGGCAAATTTATTCCCACAACCAGCCATCGAACTGACAAGCATCATGCATTTGATACAAAAAGATACACCAGTCATATGGATGGAGCAAGTAATAGCAGAATTAGTAATACAGGCTCCAGGGCTGGGATAGTAATCCAATGTCACCCCTCAAGACTTATATCCCATAGTGATCATTCGTGGGACCTCTACGTGTCATGTCTGTGAGAAGGGATATTTCTTGAGAGATGGAAGAAAAACTAGTACTTGTCTAAAGGGGAAACTACTTCCCTGAAGAGTCAGCGTCTTACAGACCGCTGTGCCATGCTCGGATACTGCCGGGTAATGTTATTTAGTATTCAATTGTAGCGGAAGATTGGAAGATGCAGTAGATAAAGGAGGTGGAGCTCTCAGAGAAGAGAGTATGGATTTGCAAAAACTCGTTGAAGTCGGATTCTAATAAGTGTGTTGATACTGGCCGAGCAGCCATGAGGAGCAGCTGAAGAAGAGGTCCAAAAATGTTTTGTGCTGAAATAATATTGGACATGTAGAATGCTTTTAACTGGAAATGGATTGCATTAAGGCAATCATCAAATCAATCTACCTATATACGTGAAACATAGTGTGCTGAATATCTGAAATGACGATATGTGTACAATATCGGCGACTGGGACCGAAGGTACACATCGCCGCGGCGTCCCACCAAGGTTGATGCAGGGCGACTGCTGGGAATTCATAATATGATGGAGTTGAGGTTCAACTCCCAGAAGGAAGCAAGATCATAGGACTTTGCAAAACATTGCCATGTCATCGGAAATTTATAGGGAAAAAATAGTGTGTGGAAATGTCATCGTCATCGGTCAGTCGTTGGCTGATCGGCATGTTGCCAGCTTGCGAACATAGAAGTGCAACTTGTAAATACCACGAAAGGAGAATCCATCATATCAAAGTTGGTCATTACAAAATTTTCATCACGACCTGCGATACATTAACTCGGCATCATGATTGAACAGCTTATCGTTTAGACCACGTGGACTATGTAGGAAAAACGGCAGTGGTGAATGCTGCGTTACAGGTAAATACTGGAAAACTGGAAGGCCTAGTCATGGAAAGTCAAGCCTCGCTTGCCTCAGTTTGTCACATTGGTTTTTTCTACGGTTCAACCAGATTGGGCCAACTTTAACAGATCGAAGATTTGTAAGACGCAATGGCTTAAATTTTCGTTTATCGGTGCTAGGGTAATGGTGCGTTCTGCACTGCTTTAAATGATGGCCAGTGTGGCCATATGCGGGATGCTCTGCATTGAAATAATGGCCTGAATGTCAGAAGCGTTGCCAACAAAAGAAACGGGAAGCTGAACTGCTCGGAAAATTAAGAAAGGCAAAGGGGATGAGACTACGTCTCCAAGGAAGATGGACTACGCAAGCGATTCTAATGGTGTGAATCGTGGATCAGGTCGAAAGCACGGCGGGGAAAATCATACTCACGCAGCTTCTAGGGGTGTGGTTGCTTAGCGGGGGGTCTCTTCACAGTTTCGAACTGTATGATTCTCCACAGTGCCTGTGTGTGAACTGATGGTTGAAGATTCCGGAACGTGTTTTTCAGTGCTCACGTTCGCACCTCAAGAAGTCTCTAGGAGGTCTTTGGTATACAGACCAGAAAACGGTGGTTGCAAGAATGTTTGTTATGAAGTCAATCTGGAGGATTGGTGTATTAAATTTTGACAAGAACCGTATTGCCTGGAATGGAGGATGCAAGGAAGGAAGGAGTGGTATCTCGTGATTCCCTCATCTTACAGGCGTATATTCACTCTTG